TTTTTTTTTTTTTGTTAACCAGACTTAATTTGAAAAAATGTGGTATGGTTAGTTGTTATTGAAAATGTAAGTATAAATAAAAATATTATTTAAAAATAATATAATTAAAGTTGATTTGACGTAAAAGTAGGAAGATGTGATGTGAAATGATGGTTAGTTAAAATTATGTGAGTGGATGAATAGTGAATTAAAGTTGATCGTAAAAATAATTGATTGACACTATTTAGTTATAATGGTATATTGTGGATAGTGGGGTTGAGTTAGATTTTGGATATAGATCGAATATGAAATGAGATAATTTGTATACAAACACGTCCTTAGTTTCTATTGGGATGAGTTTAAGTCTATCTTTGAGTGTTATTAGTTACAATTTAAATGTAGATTTGCATATGCAATCAAATATACTCTAGTGTTCTTTGCTTGCTCTTAAATTGGAATTTTTGCAGTCACATTGGCATCTGTTGGAGCTCTATTATGGGAGTACTAAATATGTTGCATTTTTTTTTTTTTTTTTTTGTTTTTCATGTAATCACAAATTACAATGACATGGAGATGTATTAAGCGTCTAGTTTTTGACCCTTACGAAATTTGGTTGAATATTTTGGAAAATGTTACTTAGCATCTGCAAACTTCAATTTATCCAAAGGTATTTGAAGATCAAAACGACGCTGCAAGGTACTGTGACCTGCTCCAAGGTGGTGGAGGACCAGGTTGTGAAGGTGTTGCCGAGATAGAAGCCTCATCAGTAAGAAACTCAATTACAGTCAATGTCAAACTGGCTTAACATTCATATATATATATATATATATATATTGTACATTTAGATTTATTTTGTTTTCTTTTCATACAGGTCTTTGACCTGTGCCAGAAGAACAGGGCACTTGCTGTTTTGTTTCGGAGAGGGCGAACACCACCTCTACCCGAGAGCCTCAAGCTCGACCTCGGGGCACGAAAACGGTCCCTTGAAGACCAAGAGGACTCAATTTGAAGAAGACGAGACTTTGGATACTGTACTGTAATTTCTGGTAAAGGTTTTGTTTATCGTGACAGAATATAGGCATAATTACAAAAATGGCATAATGTATAAAATTACATGATGAATTAATAATATTCTGTTTACTGTTCTATTAGATTAGATTCCTACTGCATATTTCAACTGCAGCCTGAAGTTGGTCTGGGGAGGGATCATGTTTTATGCTCTTTTATCCTTAAAAAACAAAAAAAAAAAGTTTTGTTAAACAAAAATAAGGTGACAGAGCCTGTAAGATAGAGAGTAACCTTTCTATATCTCTACTAGCTACTATGCCCACCTGAGATAGAGAAAAAATGAAAATCCATGTATATTTACTAGTATGACTCTGCGATGCATGAATTAATTATAATTTCATTTCTTTTGTAAAAATAAATTAATGCGGAATTCTAATATAAGGTTAATCTACAATATTTTGAGCAAAAGATATGTATTTATATGTATATATATTATTAAAATTCATATGTGAAGAACAGTGATAAAATTAATTGATTTTGAGATGAAACCTCACTATGCCGCCCTTGTATGGTGCGCTTCATGTACGTGAGCCCATACTCGTTTTGCCCTCGTTCCTTACATGGTATTAGAGCTGTTCTACATGGGACCTACGATAACGTACCCGTTACCCGACCTAGTTGGGTTTGAGCTTCGTATGAAGGATTCACAAGTGATTGTCCCACATCCTTTATGTATGAAATGTAGGTCTAACTTATAAGTCTATTGGGAGATATAATGGGGGGCTAGGGTTTGGTGCGTTGGGATGAAGATGATATTTATATAGGAGAGAGAGGATTAGGGTTTGAGTGTCTTATTGGGCGTAGACTTGGGCTTTAAAATCGGGCTCGGAATATTTGACTTGGCTCGGTAATTAAAATACTACTTGGACCGAGAAAATAATACGATAGCTCGAATTAAATCATCTCGACTATAATGGGCTGAATTAAAATGGCTTGAAATAATTGGGCCTACTTGGTCCGAAATAAAATGGCTCGACTCGAAAATTAAATGAATTTTCGACTTGTCTAATACTCAATTAAAATTATAAATCGAGACTTAAACTTAGAATTTTATTTCGTTTCCGTAATAAAATTCGAACCTTTTCTCCATAACTTAGACTTAGGACTTTAATTAACTATGCAAGTAATAATAAATAAAACTCAACATTATTATGAACTTACTATTTCTGGAAATAAAGTCAAGCTAATATTTAGAAACTGGTTCAGGGCTTACAATCTACCATTCTTAACATTTCCGTCCTCGGAAATGCTAAACTAAAGTACAAGTCCAAACTCCCAACTAGGATTCCTGACTATGAACTCTGTCTTCCCCTCACTAATGATCTCGGCTTCACCATGACAACTCTGGCTTCAAGCCCCCAAGTAAATTCAGACTAGTGACTATTATTTCATGCATCCATAATATACTTGACTTTTGGCTATTATACACTGTTAACCTAAGGTCAAGAACTGAGAGTCCTTATCTGGATACTGTATAAGGCTGTTCCGGCATCGACCGGTCCCGCTAGTACTAACTCGCCAAAGTTCACTATATGCCTTGGGAAAATCCAAGGCAAAACATAAAAATTATAAATCGGGAACTTCACAAGATGCCCATATATTCTCTTAGCAGCATCGTCCTCGCTATGGCGACACTTCTAAACTTAGGGAGAACTACTTATATGCTCTTTAATTAACGTACGCTCCGGCACAAGATGGTCGTAGGTACTACCTCATGCGTCAACTCGACTCAACTTGAGTTTCATCTATGTCTTCCAAGTTGCAGGCTCGAGTACAACCTCTCAAACTCGAGAGGTGAAGAAATCACTAATCATCTTCGAGACCTCATGTGGAAAGCCTAACGATAGGCTAGCCCACCGACTCGGCTAAAAGTTGACAAGGCTGGAGAAACAAGCTGTAGTTCCTTCGCTATGGTCGTTTACCTTGTCGGACTGATCGGGTTCTACCCAATTAGATAAGGTTTATTGTACACTTCGTCAAGCTGATCGGGTTATGCCCGATTAGATGAACGTGTCTACCTTGTTAGGCTGATCGAGTCCCACCCGATTAGACAAGGTCTATTGTACACTTCGTCAGGCTGATCGGGTTCTGCCTGATTAGATGAACGTGTCTATCTTGTCAGGCTGATCGGGTCTCACTCAATTAGACCAGGTCTACTGGACACTTCGTCAGGCTGATTAGGTTCTACCCGATTAGACGAACGTGTCTACCTTGTCAGGCTGATTGGGTCTCACCCGATTAGACAAGGTCTACTGTACACTTCGTCATCGGGTTCTGCCCGATTATACGAAAGTGTCTATCTTGTCAGGTTGATCGGGTCTCACCTGATTAGACAAGGTCTACTGTATACTTCGTCAGGCTGATCTGGTTCTGCCCGATTAGACGAACATGTCTACCTTGTCAGGCTGATCGGGTCTCACCCGATTAGACAAGGTCTACTGTACATTTCGTCAGGTTGATCAGGTTCTGCTCGATTAGACGAATGTGTATACCTTGTCAGGCTGATCGAGTCTCACCCGATTAGACAAGATCTATTGTACACTTCGACGGGCTGATCGAGTTCTGCCTGATTAGACGATTGTGTCTACCTTGTTAGGCTGATCGGGTCTCACCCGATTAGACAAGGTCTACTGTATGGTACACTTCGTCACCTCTTTCCACCAATTGGTTTTGGGATGAAATCTCACTAAGGTGCATCTAGTCTCACCCTCTTATGGTGCTTTTCACGTGCGTGGGATCGAACTCGTTTCTCCCGTTTCTTAGGTAATAAAATTCAAATTAGTTTATGCCAAATTTTTACTATATAATTTACTTAAATGCATTACTATATGTTTATTTTGTTAGAATATTCATTTGTGAGTTGTCCGACATCGTTTATATATAAAAAATAGGCCTTGTTTATAAGTCTAGTTGACTACTACTCCTTTCACCAATTGGCTTTGGAATGAAACCTCACTTGGACTTCATCTGGGTTTTCCCTGCTTATGGTGCGCTTCACGTGCATGGGACCGCACCTGTTTTCTCTCCGTTTCTTATATGGTATCAGAGTTGATTCTATGTGGGACCGCGCAGTGACGTACCCGTTTCCCATCCCATTTGGGCTTGGGCACCTGACTTCGTATATGGGCTTGAGTTTTATTATGAAAGACTCACAAGTGATAGGGCATATTAGATTATTCACTTGTGAGTTGTCCCACATCGTTTATATAGGGGAAACAGGTCTAATTTATAAGTCTAGTGGATTACTCCTCTTCCACCAATTGGTTTTGGGATGAAAACCTCACTTGAGCTTCATCTGGGCTTTCTCTGTCTTGTGCGGCGCTTCATTTGCGTGGGACTGCATTAATAGCAATGCATGAAGAGCTTAAAAATAAGTTACCATGTAGAGGTGGCCAGTCAACGGGCCGAGGCCCAGCCCGCCGGGACACGGGGGCCCTCCAACACATGGCCCTCGACTGGCCCGAACCGCCTGTTCACAGGCCGAGACGACCCTTTTAAAAAAAAATAACAATGTGGCCCTCCGGGTGGCCCAACTCGGCCCGGCCCGGCCCGGACTGGCGGGACCAAAATAAAAAAATAGAATCGGAACCGAACCGCTACCCTACGGGTCCGGTTCAACGAACCGACCCTTAGGAGGCCGGTTCACGGGCCGATTCGGCCCGTGGACATGTCTATTATCATGGAGAAGACATGGCCAAAACCCGGGCCGAGTTATGACCCGGCCCGACCCGTCGGGTCGCCGGGCTCGAAAACAATGAACCGGACCCGGCACGGACCTATACTCGTACCGGGTCACTGGCCAGGTTGAACGGGCCGTGTCCGTGTCTGGACCGGGCCCGTCATTTTAAAAAAAACGATAGAAGAAAATATAAAATAAAAGAAAAAGCGGGTCATCGACCGGCCCAGCCCGGACCGGACCCGCCGGGCCAGGTCATGAAATGGATGACACTGACACGACCCTTCGAGAAATCCGGTCCGGGCCCGAACCCGTGGTAAACGGGTTTGACCGGGCCGGGTCCATGCCGGGTCGGCGAGCCGGGTGACCCTTGGCCATGTCTACCATGGAGTCTTGGATTTTTCTGTACTTTATTTCGTCGGGAAAATTAAAGCCATGCTTGGTAACTAAGCATGTTTCTAACAAACAAATAGGAGAAATTAAAGATAAACAAAATATAGGTGAATATAAAAGTTAATTTAAGGCCTAAACAAATGCTTGTACCATTTTTTCCTTTAAATTTGCAGGCTATGCTGCTGAGAATGGAAACTTGGATGAATACTTGTTCGTAGAGTACTTTGTGCAGACTGCAGATAACATTGAATTTTCGGACAAAAGGATAAGGTTACAGACTTACAGTCAACATGCTCATGTAAAGGCAACATTAATATTTACGAAAACTGATTCGGGATGCTACCGTGAAAAAATTGATTTTTCTGAAAATCGTTAAAATTTTAAAATGATAAATAAAAACGGTTATAATGTCTTATCCGACTAATATCGGAACAAAAACTGAAAATAAGTACTGAAAGTTTTAGCGGAAATAAAGCGTGGCAAAACATATACACATAATTTCACAAATATCCTGAACTGCCCACCAGCTCACTCCTCGTCCCCGACCCTGCGACCTGAAAAACATGAAATGTGTGGGGGCGTGAGCACTAAAACACTTGTGCTCCGCAGAAACTCATACTAATGTAAACATTGTAAATAATAACAATATCATGATCTAAGCATATATAACTGAACTGAAACTGAAACTGAATTCTGATACTGGTCTGATCTCGCAACATAAGTCACGTAACTGAAATTGAATATCTGTCGGCACAAACTAATACCGAAATCTGCCGGCACAAACTAATACCGGACCATGTGCACACTCTAGTGGTTAGATTAGGCCACTAGAACCCAGAATGGACCGGCGACCACTCCGAGCGGATACTGAA